TCTACTGTTTTCCCAGGCCACAAGCAGGGAGCTAGATGGGACGCAGAGTAGCCAGGACATGAACCAGCCCCAAAATGGGATCCTGGTGCACGCAAAGCAAGGACTTTAGCAACTAGGCCACCATGCCGGGCCCCATCTGGTTCTTTTTGAAAAGTTAAATGGGGCCCAGTGTGGTAGACTAGCAGCTAAAGTCACCACCTTGAATGCACTGGGATCCTTGACTTCAGATCAGCTCAGCTCTGGCTGTTGTGGACACTTGGGAAGTAAATCAAGGGGTAGAAGATCTTTCTCTCCCGTCTCTGGGTCTCCCACATAGGTGCAGGGTTCCAAGGTGTTGGGTCATCCTTTGTTGCTTTCTCAGGTCATAAGCAGGGAACTGGAAGGGAAGCGGAGCAGCCCACAAAGCAGTGCCCATGTGGGATCCTGGTGAATGCAAGGCAAGGAGCCATTAGGCTATCGCACTAGGCCCAGCAGACTAATTTTTAAGTTGACAATTGTGTGTGGTCCAGGAATGATGTCATAAACATCCCAATTGTCCTTAGCAGGAAATGGTTCCCTACCTCTGCACATATGTACCTTTATTGAAAATCACACTGTATTCTATAAAATGTGTCATTAGGAGACATTAATTAATAGTCTGTCTGCAGTTATTTGTAACCCAGACTGGGCTGTGGCACACACTAAAGCTGGGATCATGCCTGGTATGCGAACTTCAAGGACTCCCATACTAGGCCACTGCTCCCACTGGTGGGTCTGACAGCTGGGACCGTGGGCAGACTGAGCTAGTCAGGGCTGCAACACCCATCGGTCTGTATGTGAGCTGGGTTTGGGGGAGTGCTGAGCTAGGCTGGCCACTGCGTCTATTGGCACATGCAAGAGCCAGAATAGTTGTAGGGCAGCTGGGCTTTGCTGGACGTCTGCTGGCAAATGCTGGAACTGGGTGCAAGTCTTGTTAGGCTGACTGCAGCACTCCCTGGCATGTCCAAGATCTGGAGCTGGGAGGTGCCTAGTAGGAGGACTGTGGACATTCCTGTGCTGGGCTGCAGCTCCTGCTAATGAGCATAAGAGCTAGGGCTAGAGGCAGGCCAGGCTGGACAAGGCAGCAGCACCCATTGGCATATATTTGGCAGTTGTTCAGGCTGAGCTAAGCTGTAACATCCATGGATGCATACAAGAGCCAGCTTGGATGTGGGAGGGGTCAGACTAGACTGCTGCACATGCCAGCAGGTGCAGGAACCAGGGCTGGGGGAAGGCCAGGCGGTTATTGGGGGTCACGCCCAACTAGGCTGTAATTTCTGCTCATGTGCATAAAGGATGGATTTTTGGGAGGCTGGTTGGGCTAGGCCTCAGCACCTATTAGTTTGTATTTGACATGGGGGTAGGGACAGAACTGATTAGGCAACTGCATTCATTAGCATGTTCATAGGACAATGTGGGTGATGGACTGAACTGGACCTCATAATAGCTGTTGCACACAAGAGTAAGGTCTAAAGTCACCCCAGGAAAGGTTTCTTGAGAGACTCTCCCACTAGACCACTGGACTCACTGCAGCCATAGCGAAGATCACAGGATATGTGGTCCAACCTTGGACTTGACTGGGGCTCTTGGGTTGCTGATGCCTTTGCAGTGGACAGCATATAACATGCGTACAGGGGACATGACAGCCAGCTCATTTAGGCCAACAGAGTATCTCGAGTGTCTTGTGAGAGGATGGAAAGTAGAACAGACTGACCAGTCTTTTGGCTGAGCTTTGCAGCAAGGATGTGTGGATGCACCAGGGTACATCCTTGGAAAGATTTTTTTCAACCCCGGAGTAATTAAACCTACAACATCTTAGGACTATCACGATCCCTCAAGTGATACTCCTTAGAACACTCTTCCTCACATCTGGGTCTCTAAGATGGCATCAAATGACCGTCCCTCATCCCTGGGTGCTGATGTAGTTGGGCAGAAAGGAGCAGCCTCCTCCTCTACCCGTCCCTCCCCCCATAGAGGAGCAAAAGAAAATAATTAAAGCATTTGTTCCACCCTCCTTCACTTCTACCCTTGACCCTCCCTACCCTAATTCAGTGACCCATATGGGCATACATCCTTCTTAACTCTGTAAACAGCATTACAAATATATATATATATTTTTAAGTGAACCAGCTAGGCTCAAACTAGCATCAATGTGTGATGGCAGCACTGTAGATGGAGTTTGACCCAGGAGGACCCCAGATTTGAATTTTTTAAAAAAGATTTATTTATTTATTGGAAAGTCAGATATACAGAGAGGAGGAGAGACAGAGAGGAAGATCTTCCATCCGCTGATTCACTCCCCAAGTGACTGCAAAGGCTGATGCTATGCTGATCCGAAGCCAGGATCCAGGAACTTCGTCTGGATCTCCCACACGGGTGCAGGGTCCCAAAGCCTTGGGCCATCCTCGACGGCTTTCCCTGGCCACAAGCAGGGAACTGGATGAGAAGTGGAGCCCATATGGGATCCCGGCGCGTTCAAGGTGAGGACTTTAGCTGCTAGGCCACATCATCAGGCCCTTGAATTTGTTTTTTAGCTTTAACTTACATTACTATCAGCAAATGTCACTTAATTACAATGTCCTTTTTTTTTAAGATTTATTTTTATTATTTTTTTATTGGAAAGGCGGATATACAGAGAGGAGAGACAGAGAGGAAGATCTTCCGTCCGATGATTCACTCCCCAAGTGAGTGCAACGGCCGATGCTATGCCGATCCGAAGCCAGGAGCCTCTTCCGGGTCTCCCACGCGGGTGCAGGGTCCCAAAGCTTTGGGCCGTCCTTGACTGCTTTCCCGGGCCACAGGCAGGGAGCTGGAAGGGAAGCGGGGCTGCTGGGATAGAACCGGCGCCCATATGGGATCCCGGGCGTGCAAGGGGAGGATCTTAACCATTTGCGCCACCGCGCCAGGCCCTACAATGTCCTTTTTTATATGTTGCTAAATTTGTCATACTTAGGCTTTTTTATTAGGACTGTGAACATGCTCATGAGGCATATTGTTTAATTCTATTTTTTAATTCATTTTTATTGGAAAGTCAGATTTACAGAGAGAAGAAGAGAACAGAGAAAAAGATCTTCCATCTGCTGGTTCACTCCCCAAGTGGCTGCAATAGCCGGAACTGAGCAAATCCAAAGCCAGGAGCCAGAAACTTCTTCTGGGTTTCCCACATGGGTGCAGGGTCCTAAGGCTTTGGGCTGTTCTCTACTGCTTTCCCATGCCACAAGCAGGAAGCTGGAAGGGAAGTAGAGCAGCCAGGACACAAACTGGTACCCATATGGGATTGCAAGGTGAGGACTTTAGTCACAAGGCTATTGCACCGGGCCCCATTATTTCTGAAGTCGTATTATCTGCTATGAACAAAATCACTTTTGTTTTCCTTTATTTTTTTTAAGATTTATTTATTTTCATTACAAAGTCAGATATACAGAGAGGAGGAGAGACAGAGAGGAAGATCTTCCGTCCGATGATTCACTCCCCAAGTGAGCGCAACGGCCAGTGCTGCACTGATCCGAAGCCGAGAACCAGGAACCTCTTCTGGGTCTCCCACATGGGTGCAGGGTTCCAAGGCTTTGGGCCATCCTTGCCTGCTTTCCCAGGCCACAAGCAAGGAGCTGAATAGAAAGCGAGGCCACTGGGATTAGAACTGGTGCCCATGTGGGATCCTGGCACATGCAAGGTGAGGACTTTAGTTGCCCAACCCAAATTTTTTTAAGAAATATATTTATTTGTAAAAACAAACAAACAAACAAAAGAAACAAAAATTTCCAAGGTTCTTAACCCTTGGATAATTAGAGTATGGGTGACCTTTATTACTTTAGTGTTAATTTTTTTAATTTACTTTTTTGGAAAGGAAGATTTAGAGAGAAGGAGATACAGAAAGATCTTTTGTCTGCTCGTTCACTCCTTAAGTGGCCACAATGTCCATAGCCAAGGCCAGTCTGAATCCAAGAGCCAGGAGCTTCTTCAGGGTCTCCCACGTGGGTGGGTGCAGGGTCCCAAAGACACAAGTCATCTTCCACTGCTTTCCCTGGCCACAAGCAGGGAGCTGGATTGTAGCCACGACAGGAGTTAGCGTCTATATGGGATCCTGGTGCTTGACGGAGGATTAGCCAAACCAGGTATTACATGTGCTGATTGCATCGCATGTCTGTTTCTTGGAGCAAGTATGTTACTTTTCTAATGCACAAGCCTTTAAGAAAAAGAAAAAAGAAAAAAAAAAAAAGCTTACCAGTGGCCATTTTTGTACCTCTCCCCCCTTGGTTAAAAAAAAAAAAGTATGTGTGTGTTTGTGTATGCAATGTCCCTCTTCGTCCGCAACTAGATAACAGGTTTTCCTCACTGGGCCTGTGTTGGCTCAGCCAAGTGAGTAGGAGGTTCGCCCGCCTCTCACCCGCTGTGCGACTGTGGCAAGACCCCTCCCTTTTCTCCCTGGAAAAGATGCTTTACTAATCCCGTGACAAGTGTCCACAGCTAGCACCTGCTTGGGTCTAGATCTGGCGCCCAGAGTTTCTCCAGAAAAATAACTCCCCGCAGCCAGGATCTGCATTAGGAGGGTGTTTTTTTGTTTGTTTGTTTTTAACAAGTGGGGAGACAGGGTGCGGTGTTCTGAGGTGACTACTCACACCCGTTTGTAGCAAGGCCTGAGGCTGAGCGAGGCCAGGGCAGCTCCTCCCAGGCGGCTACCACTCAGCTCCAGCAAAGGGATCTGCCCGGACCCTTTGAAAGCCTTCAAGACAAGTCCTAGTTCTGTCACTTTCTAGCTGTTTGACCTTGGGCAAGTCCCTTCCTCCCTTAGGTGCCCTGCAACCGGCCTAAACGCCTCTCCTGGCACTAACAGCGATTCAGCAAGCCTCTGCGCGCTGCAGACATTTGTCCATTTTCAAGCAGCCACGCGCGTGGGGTACCAGGCGCGGGGGATTTTAGGGTCGCCGCGCGGGAGCGTCGAGAACCCGCGCCTCGCCTCTCGCGAGATTTCCTCTGGCAGCGCTTCGCAGCGTCATCCCCTCCTCAGCGGCCGCGGCGGCGACAGCGACGGCGCGTACGCGGCTCGCAGGGGCGGCCCGTATCCCTCCGCCGCCCGAGCGGCCCGGCCCTCCCTCTCCCGACCCGCCAATCCCCGCGCCTCCCGACCTGCCCCTCGGCCTGGGCCCACCCCGCGCTCCGGCGGCCCCACCCCGGCGGCGCCGCCCGCCCGCGCGTCCCTCGGTCCACCTGCAGCCCGCTGGAAGGCAGAGCAGTCCCTCCGGCTGTCCGACCGAGCGGCGCCCGCCGCGCCCGAGGCCTTGGGCTCTTGCTCCCCGGCGGAGGGATCCGCGGCGGTGGCGGCGGAGGAGGCGGCGCCGAGCCGGGAAGGAAGAGGCAGCTCCGGCGGCGGCGGCGGCTGGGGCGGCAGCGCATAAAGGGGGCCGCCGCCGGGTGATGCGGTGACCGCTGCGGCAGGCCCAGGAGCTGAGTGGGCCCCGCGGCCCGCAGCCTATCCCGCCGGACCCGGGCCCCTCCTTCCCCCGTCCTCTCCTGCCGACCCGCGATTCCGAGGCGGCCTCAGGCCCCCTCGTCCCTTCCCCGTCCCTCCCCTGCCCCGTCCCTGCCCGGGGGGCTACCGCCACCCGTCTCCCACCATGGCTCTGAAGAGAATCCACAAGGTAAGGCGCCCGAGGTCGGCTGCCGGGGCTCGGGCCGCGGGGACGGGCCGGCCGAGCCATCTGCGGCCTGCACTTGCCAGCCGTCTCGCCTCGGCCGGGCTTGCGGGGCCCCGATCCCGGGTCGGGCTGCCGGCGCTGGCCCCGCGGGGCGGCCTTCACACCCCACTCCCAGTGATGGCGTCCGTGGAGGCCCCGGCGCGCAGAGCCTGTGTTTAGGCCGGAGGTGTTCTCGCCCCCCGAGGATTCCTCCCCGGCCGCCTTCCCAGGCCCGCGTGGTGTTGAAGTCCCAGGGCCTCGGTCCATCCTGGTACTGCCGAGCGGGGGGCCATTGTCCGGCCAGGCCGGGGTGGGGGGTGGGGGGAGAGGCTGGGCGTTAGGCGGCCCCTTCGACAGAGGTCGAAAGAACTCCTTGCCCCATCTCTGCTCCCTCTGGCCCCCCACCTGCCCCAGTTCTTTCGGCAGAACGCTTCGAGCTCGGGCCCAAGTCGAGGGCAGCTGGAAGATGCCGATTGCCCGATCCTCAACTCTTTTCTTGAGTTCACATATCCTCCTTGTGCCGCTGCACCCAGCTTGTCCAGGAGCTGATAGAATGGGAAGTTCAGAAGGAAAAAAAAACTGATCCTGACCAGGGAGGAGGGAAGTAAAGGGAGTACCGTATTTCATCCTTAAGGTTCCCATATGTAGTCAGCAGCTTAGCACTTGAGTTTTGTAGAATTGGGTCTGATAGAAAATTGGCGAGGGTAGCAAGAAGTCATTTCAGAAATCTGAACATAGGAAACCGCTGGAGAAATTACACAAAGATTCCTTTCATTCCCTTGGCAGACTGGGTTTTGAGGTTGAAATTAGGTGATATGATCATTCGGTCAGGAGACCCTTTTAACTGAGGAGGAGTTTTACTGACTATTCTGTTAAGAAGGACTTTGCTCTTTAACAAGGAGGGTTATGTAGTTATCCCTAAAGGAGATTTCCCTTAATACAGCCTCTGGAGTATGGGCTTGGCTTAAAATTTAGCCTCTTCCCCATACTGGAAACTCTCAGTGCAATTTAGGATCATGTTTTTTCTTATAAGTGGGCAGGTAACACTGGCAGTTTTTGTTTGGCGTTCCACTTGGCTTCTCAGATTGGCTGCTTAGGGAGAAGTAGGTGCTGAGATCTTCCATCCTGAAGGATGGTGGTGATGAAGCAAGAGGAAGAGAAGCAGAGAGAAGTCAAAGTGCAGGTTCAATCACCTCAGTTCAGCAGTTGGTTTTCATTTCATTCTTGATCAGAAACCTTTGGACTGAAATCAGTCCCTTGTTTAAATTAGGTTAGATCCTTAGGAACGTTTTTTTTTACTTTGAATTTCTAACAAATGACTAATGGTGAAATTTAGAGTAAATCTTGTAATAAGATGCAGCAGAGTAGATATTGAAAGAAGCTTGACTCCAAGGCAGGGGGCTCCTGGAGAGCCAGCTGGGAGCAGGAGCTCGCCTAGCAGCTTCCACCTCCGCCCAAGGAAAGTGTTTCTGGAAAAGTATTGTAAGGCTCTCTCAGCATTTACCTGGGATGTTATCGACTTGACACCTGGTGTCTACCTGGAGGAGAAAGCTCTAATTTTAAAACCTAAAAAGGGAGTGTGAGGGTGAGTACAATTTGTGATACCTCACAGATCCAGAAATGTAGCCTTTTAATTTCTGTCTTGCCATTTGATTGTTACAGATACTTGTTTAAATAGGAAAATAGAAGTATGATTCACAAGGTACATTTTAATCTTCTAGTAAAATAATGGGCACTGGTAAGATTTATTTTGAGTTACTACATATTTTCTAGAACTTTTTTTTCTGAAATATACCATTTATTTATCTATTGAGATTTATTTATTTGCATCGGAACATCACATTTACAGAGAGAAAGAGATATGGAGGGAAAAATCTTCTCTCCACTGGTTCACTCTGTGAGTGAATGCAATGGTTGACCAGGGCTGAGTTGAGCTGAAGCCAGGAACCAGTAGCTTCTTCTGAGTCTCTCACACAAGTGCAAGGTCCCAAGGCTTTGGTTCATCCGCTACTGCTTTCCCAGGCTGTAGGAAGGGAGCTGGATGGGAAATGGAGCGGCTGGGACATGACAGGCATCCATGTGTGATCCCAGAGGTTGCAAGGCAAGGATTTAGCCACTAGGCCACTGCACTGGGCCTCCTTAATTTTTTAAAATAAGAAAATAAAGTTTGGAAGAGATAATTTGAACTTTTAAATTTGTTAACTTCTATTTTCCCTCTGGATTATAACCTGGAACCATCCTGATTTCTCTGAAACTACCAGGAATTTGAGAACTGGAATTTGTTTTTGGTATACCAGCCACAAAGATTTGGAAAGCAAAATAAAATACTTTCAAACTTCAGTATGATGCCAATTTTAAGTTGAATGATATGCTTACTAAGTGCAGGTAAAACCAGCCCTTTTGGGTCCAGCATGGTGTCCTAGTGGCTAAAGTCCTTGCTTTACACATGTTGGGATCCCATATGGGCGCCGGTTCTAATCCCACCGGCCCCACTTCCCATCCAGCTCCCTGCTTGTGGGCTGGGAGAACAGTTAAGGGTGGACCAAAGCCTTGGGACCCTGCATCCACATGGGAGACCTGGAAGAAGCTCCTGACTTCAGATTGGTTCAACTCTCTGGCCATTGTGGGAGTGAATCAGCAGATGGAAGATCTTTCTGTCTCTTCTCTCTGTATGTCTGACTTTGTAATAAAAGCAAAAAATATATATATATATATTCCTTTCTTACTCTCTACTTCTTGATATCCCAGAAGACTTGCTTGGCTTAGAAAAATTGATCTTGGGGCCTGGCACAATAGTCTAGTGGCTTAAGTTCTCACCATGCATCCACCAGAATCCTGGCTGCTCTACTCTCCTTCTGGCTCCCTACTTGTGGCCTGGGAAAGCAGTCGAGGACGGCCCAAAGCCTTGGGACCCTGCACCTGCGTGGGAGACCTAGAGGAGGAAGCTCCTGGCTTCAGATCGGCTCAGCTATGCTCCAGCCATTGCAGCCTCTTAGGAAGTGAACCTAAAGATATTTTTTTTTAAAGATTTTTTTTTTAATTGGAAAGGCAGATAGACAGAGAAGAAGATCTTCCGTCCGATGATTCACTCCCCAAGTGAGCGCAACGGCCGATGCTATGCCGATCCGAAGCAAGGAGCCAGGAGCCTCTTCCGGGTCTCCCACATGGGTGCAGGGTCCCAAGGCTTTGGGCCGTCCTTGACTGCTTTCCCAGGCCACAGGCAGGAAGCTGGATAAGAAACGGGGCTGCTGGAATTAGAACTGGCGCTCATATGGGATCCCGAGTGTGTAACCACTGTGCCATCATGCCGGGCCCCCAACCTAAAGATCTTTTTGTCTTTCTCTGTAAATCTGCCTTTCCAATAAAAATAAATTTTAAAAGAAAAAAGAAAACTGATCTTGGTCAGTTGGCATTTGTGGTCATCTTAAAACATCTGCTTAAATACCTTCTCAACTTTTGTTGTCATGAACTGCTACATCTAGGCTCTTATAACATTTTTCTAAGAACTCATTTTGCATGTTGATATCTTTAGGAATTCAGTAAGAAAGATTTACTTATTTCAAAGGCAGAGTGACAGGGGGAGAGAGAGCTCTTCCATCCACTGGTTCACTACCCTTGTTTCTTTGACAGGAATTCTACGTGTGTCTGTGTATTTGGCAGTCTTTTAAATGCCATGTCTCTTTTCGGAAAATGCTTTTGGTGGACTTCATTTTGATATCTGCTTTAGTCTTCTGACTTCATTCAGCAGTGAGCAAAGAGGGTCATAATAAACATGCAATACAGTTCTGAGCAGGGATTGGGCTCCTCTGGAGTGGTTTGTGTCTGCACCCGGAGATCCCAGCCATTCACATTTTGAGGTTTTCTGTTGACTTGATAACTCTCCAGCTTTGGTTCTGATGCTCTGAGCTCCTGCTGCCAGCAGCACCACCCCCTTTTCCAGTTGGCTGCGTCTCATCTGTTGTGGGCTAAGAAACCAGATCACGGAGCTTATTAAAATTGTGTCTAAAATAAGATCCAGTAGGCTCTGTAGAAAGGGCCTCATGTGTTCCGTGAACTGTGTGGTCTCTGGCTGATTGGAGACTTTTTTGACTAGTTTCCTGTTTTTCTTTTGACTTTTGTAATACAGATACAGGAGCCTCTGTTTTTCAAGTAGCAGCATATTGAAATACAAGGTTAATTTCTTTTTGTAGTTGTTGTTGTTATGTTTTTTTAGGAATTATGTTTTATTTATTTGCAAAGTAGAGTTACAGAGAGAAAAGGACAGATAGAGAGAGAGCTTCCATGTATAGGTTCATCCCCAAAAAGCTGCGTTGGCTGGGATTGGGCCAGGCCAGAGCCTGGAGCCTAGACCATCTTCCACTGCTCTCACTTGAATTAAGGGGACCAAGGACTTGGTCTGTCTTCCCCTGCTTTTTCACAGGATCAGAAGTGTGAAGCCCTGCTCCTTGTATTTTTATGAAGGATAAAAGACTAAAGTTAGTGTTCTATAATAACTTTTTAGATTTTTTAGTAGTTATTTATTTTTGTTGAAAAGTCAGATATACAAAGAGGAAGAGAGACCAGAAATGTCTGTCTACTGATTCGCTTCCCCAATTAGCTGCAGTGGCCATAGCTGAGCTGATTTGAAGCCAGGAACCTGGAGGTCCTCTAGTCTCCCATGCAGGTGCAGGGTTCCAAGGCTTTGGACCATCCTCTACTATCCCAGGTCGCAAGCAGGTAGCTGGGTGGGAAGTGGAACAGTGGGGATACAAACCACTGGCCATATGGAATCTGACGTGTGTAAGATTAGGCTACAATAGGCTGTAGCATTGGGCCCAGTAGCTTCTTTTTTAAAGCATTAATAGGGATATATGCATTTTAATGGTATGCTGCTACTTGTACATAAAAATTGGTGTGGATGACTTTAAAGTAATGTGAGACTCATCCCCTTATTTCAATGATAAATATTTCATTTTTTGTTTGTT